GGAACAGACAGATGGGTGACGCTCGGACCCTCCCGGCCTCTCCCCCCTACAGCTCAAGCCCAACCGAGATGACTCCCGACTGCCCCGGAGATCCTCTCTTCCCCAGTGAGCAGCAGACTGTACATTTAAAAAACTAGAGGGCACCAGTCTTCAGACACAAATTTAAAGCTATTACAGGGCTGGATGGAGAAGGATGGGTTTGGGGAGCCTACACGGGCACCACCAAAAACAGAAGGTGCCTTGCAACCTCTCAGCAGGCCCGGGTGGGTGGCCTGCACCCTCGGCTCTATCTAAATGCGGCGTCCAGCTGGTGTGGTCTCCGGCCTCGTTTGGTGGCTCCACACCAGCGGCCAAGTGAGACCAAGCACGTGGTTGTCACCGAGAGACGCTGGGCTGGCGTGTCTGCACCGGGTTTACACACACCGATGTTTCTTCTGGTTTCCAGCCCCTCCACCTCGCAGCACGTGTAGCCCATGTCTTAGGGGAGCAGATAAAATCCTCTTAGCCCGTGAAAACAGATGGCTTCCAACCACAGGGCGCCAGGGATAAAAACCGACCTGGAAGCGGAGTCATCCTGCTTCGTGGCTAACGCCTCTGGCGGGGGCTTCTCTGACGCCGCTCCTGCTTTCTTGTGCAGATGGAACTGGATGGGCAGGGGATCCTCTGTTCAGACCCAGTGTCTTGACAGCAACTGCTGTCGGCAAGTGCTGGCTGCTCTAATCCACAAAACGTTTTCTGCGATATTTTTTTTTTTTTTGTAGTAAAGTTAAAACAGAAGGGACACAGGGCAGTGAGGTGTGACGGTCCGAGCACAGAGCTCAGGTGTGTGGGGGCCGGCAAAGCCTCGGGCGGTTGGAGCACATGGTTTAGGTAAGTCTGGGAGGAGCTCCTCCTCCACAGGGTCAGTCCTTGGAGCTGCTGCTGTTGGCCTGGCTCCTGGTTCAAGCGAGCCCCGGTCGACCGAGTCCCTTATTTTGAGAACAGTACTGTTCATAGTCTTCCTTATGCAGCAGAACCGAGGGAGGAAATCGCAGTAAAGATGTTCACAAGCAAGGCCCCCCCCTCCTGATACTCAAATGATAATGACGAACCACAAGGAAGGAGTCAGGAGGAGAGGGGGCCGGCCGCCGCCCCCAGGCCGGAGCCCCCCGCGCCGGCAAAGCCGCCTCTCCCGCACTGCCCTCTAGGAAGCTGTGTGTTTCCACAGCCCAGGAGGCGAGTCTGGCCCCAGCGAGGGATGGCAGGCAATACGACTCTCCTTAGCAGATGGAACTGGCAGGTGGGCCCCAGACACATTCTTATTTCTGATTGGTTGAGACTTGGCCACCATCCACACGCTTTTCCCTCTTCATTTGGATCTCTGAGTTTCCTCACCTTCCTCATCGCTCTCCAGCACAGGCTCTCCCCCTGGGACATGAATAACTCAGGGCCTGGAGGTGAATAGAGGCGGGGTGAAGTCACAGGCCTGCAAACCCCTTCCCGAGACAGGCTATGTCCACCGACTGGTCGGGAGGATCAGCGTCACGTTTGAATCGAGGGTAGTACAGCGTGCAACCTCCTGTAAAATTTAACAGATGCCTTCTCCTGTACAATTCACTTAAACAAACAATGCAGAGAAAGAACTCCACGTTTCCCTGCCCAGAAAAAAACAAAAATTTCCATGCCAATCAGTTTTCTTTCTAAAAATAAGCTCCATTCACGTCAGGCATCTGTCTTAATTTCATTGCTTTTCTGGTTGACAAATTACACACACAGGATGAAAATGAGCCCAGAAACAGGAACATGATCGTCAACATTCTGTTGTGAATACAAATCAGGGCTCCTCTGGGGAGAGCCTGCCTGGCCTCAGCCCTGAACACATCGGCCGCACTTCACCAGAATCACGCCGTGGGTGACACAGACTCCCGCGCGAGGCCAGGGGCCTTGCTTTACTTTCACCTGGTCCTTTTGCTGTTTTTCAAAACTGAGGTAGAATCAGTTTACAGGGTGTCTGTTTCTGGGGCACAGCGTAATGTCTCAGTCACACATACACACATGTGCTCTTTTTCAGATTCTGTAATAACACAACAATACGCTCCTGGGAAGGACAGGTGGCTGTGCTTCTCTGCAGGAAGATGTGGTCACGCCAGTGATGTACACTCCCCCCGCCGTCCGAGTCTCCCAGACAGACAGAGGGGAAACGTAACAGCGAGACTTTGAAGAGGAGTGCGTGTCTGTCTGTTTGAAGGTAAAAAACGCCACCAGGAAAAGCTATTGGGACAGAAAAGCCCACTTAATTTCAGATTCTTCAGCTGTGTTCCACTGTTTGCTTTGGCTTCTGGCTCTGTGATCAGTACACGCCCTAAACAGCTGGATTGTGAGGTCCCTGAGAACAGGTTTGTTTTTGCCTAGAAGCCAGCACTGTGTCTGCCCTGGAAAAGAGTTAATAAAAAAAGTTGTAGAAATGAATGAAAGTGCCCGGTTAGTGAACAGGGGAGTCTCTGCAGAAGGAAATGTGTTCTGCAGCCAAGATATGCTCAGTGGGGCAGTTGTACGGTCCACTCTGACAATCAAAAGCCAAAGAAAGGGACGAAGTGATTTTGAACTGGAAGAAAACTTCTGACTGATTTTTCTCTTTTAAATAACGCTTGTCCTTGACACCACCAGGTGCCATGATGGGGGTGTGGAGACCAGAAACGAGCTGTGAAACATGTCAGGGGTGATGAGAGCCACAAAGAAGGCTCTGTGGGCAAGGAGGAAAGTTCTGGGCACAGGGAAGAGTGTGTCACCCACATGGGACCGGGCTGGAGGCAGAGGTGAGGAGGGGCTGGAGCAGTACCAGGAAAGGGGCTGTGGGGGTTTGAGCAGAGGGATGACGAAAGTATGTGCTGCACAGGTTTAGTTTTGGTTGCAGGCAGAGGTGGGCCTGGGGACCGTTAGGACCCATGGGAACAGAGCAGAGATGGCTGCTGCTTGGACGGGGGCAGTAACTCTAGAGACAGCACGAGTGGCCAGGTTCTGGCCAGAGAGGCCCCTACAGAGCAGGTCAGAGAGCAGGTAAGGGACACAAGGATCAGCCAAGAGGCGGGAAGGATGGAGTGGGCCCCCAAGGCGGCCATGTCCTCACCCCAGAACCTGTGACATGCTGCCTTATATTCAGAAGGAACTTTGCAGACGGGATTAGGTGCCTGGAGAGGTGGGGATCCCTGGGTTACCAGGGGGGCTCAATCTAGTCACCAAGGCGGGAGGGTAAGAGCTAGTAGCCAGAGAGGTGGCGTAGCATCAAGAATTTGTTGTGAGTCAAGGAGGCACCAAGAGCCAAGGAATGTCCGCTGCCTCCCGAAGCTGGAAAAGGCAAGGAAGGGGTCCTCCTGGTAGAAATAAACAAAGGCCGCCCACGTGGGGACAAGCAGGCGGTGCTGCTGCAGCGAGGGGCTCGGCCACCCTCAGTGACGTCACTAGTGTCACTAGCGTCTGGCAGAGTCTGGGCACCGGGGACAAGAGAGCTTCCGCGGGGAAAGGGGGTGCAGGGGCGGTGGAGGCGGGGGTTACAAGAAGTGGGGCTCCTAGGAGGTTGGTGAGGGGAGCACTTGGGGTTCCTCCAGTTGGTCCTGAGCTGGACGCGGGGACAGACAGTAGGGCATCTGTCGGCCGTAGGTCAGGTCCTGCCCGGTCGGGGCGGATGGTGACAGACCTTCCTGCTCAGCTTTGCTCACAGACGTCCCCGCAGACAGCGATCTGCCTTCCCGCAGCTCCGACTCACTGGCTTCCTGGGATGTTTGCTGCAGACGGAGGGTGGGGTGGGCCTCCTGGGCACGTGGCTGCCGGCTGGGGGTCAGAGCTCCAACTGCACACCGCGGCCCCACCTGGCCATGCCTGTTGTGCGCCGCTTCACCCGTCCAGAGCCCTCCTCGCTCGGGGCTCACTAGCAGTGACCGATGAGAAGCTGAGACACAGGCAGCTCTGCTGCAGTGAATCGGCTCCCGCACGTGTACGTATACTTATATGTTCGCTGCTGAGTTCCCCGGCCCCACGGCACAGTGCCGGGAGCCCTTCCTTCTACAGACTGGCACTGTCTAAAACATGACCTGACCATGTTAAGCCACGAAGCCCTAAAACTGAACTAAAAAGGAAACCTTCTTATGCAGTGTTTGTAAAGTGTGCATGGAATCTTCCGTGAAATAAGAATATTATCTTTCCCTTTCAAATACACCTCTCCCCTCTGAATCCTACTCAGTCAGTTACCTTCTGCACTTAATAATTAATTCCACTTTCATCTCACTTTAAATAAAAGGTGCATCGATGCCTTGGCACTGATGCGGTTTTATGTCGTGTTATTTCAAAGTTTATACAGTTTCATCTCCTACCACTGGCCTTGGGGGCTGGTTATGAAGAAGAGGGGACTTGGGCTTCACACTAGAGGACCGAGCTGTTTTGTCCCACGGAAACAGCTCTGAGTTCCTAGAAAGCAGGGCCCACCTGTTCACGCAACGGCTGAGAGGCGTCATGGTTCCTCTCATTCAGCTCTCCTAGCCCGAGCGAGGTGGGTGCAGCGGGGGACACCCCCACCTAGTTTAATCGAAGGGAGAGGGTGACCTGGTGGTGTCTGCCATAGAGGGAAGGAGGGACCAAGCCTACAGACCCAGACCCTGAGTGAACCCACCCTTACCGGCTCGCTGTCCCACGTGAGCCCTGCGGTGAAGGTTTGGTTAAGTGCGGGCCAGGACTGCCCTCACTAATTTAGGCTGTGTGCATGAAAACGCAGCTAGGGCAAATGCAAAACCAGCGATCTTGCTGATTGGGAATAAACTCGGGTGGGTTGGTTTAAGTCCAGCCTTAAATGAGTTAACACGATGACAGAGTAATTATAGAGCAAAATTAGGTACCTAAGAGACAGAAGTAAATGTATAGCAAACCACAGCGATGTTCCCCAGAGCGCGAGAGCTGCTGTGCCCCGTGCTGAGCTGAGGCTGGCGGGCGAGGGC